CCGACACATAGCTCCTTTCGGGGGGGCATATGATATGGACAAAAATGGCAATGTGACACGTCATCCCCCTGACCAACGCACTGCCCGAGGCTCGCCATACCCTGCAGCAGCTCGGCCTCCCACGCAACCAAAGGTACAGTCCTGCCTTGCATCAGGTAACCTCAAACCTCCTCTATAAATACCCCCGAGCCCTTGGCCAAGAGGGGGAGGACACACTCAACACACCACACGGAGGTTTCTTCTCCTCCTAAACCCCCTCCACCTCTTTCGCTAACTTGATCGTCGAAGGGGTCGGGCCGAGCTCCCGGCCCGACCTGTGTGCAGGTGCGAGACGGTGTCGCCTCTTCCCGGCGCTGCGGCGGGGCTTCTTCCTGACCCGACCTACCGACCCGACCTCCCGACCCGAACCACCGAGCTCGGTCGCCGGGAGACCCCGAGGAGCGTCCCCAGAAAGATCCCCGTCATCCGGACCCGAACCAAGCCGCGACGGCCCCCGATGCCACGGCTAAAAAAGTTACTTACCGTAACAGATATAAGAAGGAATCGTATGGTAATAGGCTATTCACTGATCAATTAAGCATTTACTTTCTTAAAATTTGAAATGCACGTGCCATTAAATTGGCTATTCAAGTTTAGGTGGATAACAAATTCAATGTGCTTTTATATCTTAAAAGCACGGATTTAAATTTTAAATGATATCGCCTATATCGGGCAATACGTACCAGTCCGCTAGCAGACCAATACGCGGACAGTTTGCTATCGGGCGGAACGCTTGATATAGCCTCGTATCAGACGATATGGGGCTATATCAGATGGTAACGATCGAAATTTTTATCGTTACCGATCTGTAATAGTGTTCCAATAGTCAAATTGATCGTTGGAGTCTTTTCTCATGGGTTTTTAAGCATATCCTCCCCCCTATTTCATTTCATTTCACTCTCACACACTCTTAAACTAAAACTTATTTTTTCTCATATTCTCTTATTCTTACATTTGCACTCTACTAAATTTTACAAAGCAACGATTTGTGAATTGAATCGAGACTAATTTGGAAGTATTAAGAGAAAAAACTTTTTGATCAAGAGGTATGCATTCTTTTTCTTTAATTAGAGAGTAATTAAGATCTTTAATATTATGATTAGTGTGTTTAATATCAATTAATTTGAAATTAGACACATGATAAGTCAAATGTTTATATTTCATGCATATTAAATATTGAAAGATATTTATGATGGTAAAATATGTTTAATTTGGTTTTATTAAAGTTATTTAATATTATAATTAGTTATTTTAATGATGATTTAATCAAAATTTGATCGATTTTGGATCAATTCAATGTTTTTAATACCCATTAAGGTGTTTGACATGTTTATAGTGTTGAAAGAGAAGTAATTAATGGGTAATTAACTATGTTAATCATGTGATTAGTGTATTTAATGATGATTTCATTATAATTTGATGTATATTGGATCAGAATTACGTATTTAATGTTTGTTTTATATGTTTCACATATTTATAATGGTAAAATAGGTTTAATTAGGTTTTATTAAAGTTATTTAATATTGTTATTAGTCATTTTAATGATGATTTAATTAAAATTTGATCGATTTTAGGTCAATTCAATGCCTTTAATACCTATTAGGGTGTTTGGCATGTTTATAGTATTGAAAGACAAGTAATTAATAGGTAATTAACTATGTTAATTGTGTGATTAATGTATTTAATGATGATTTAATATTACAATTTGTGGTTTTTTATCAATATTAGGTTAATTCAATATGTTTATAGTTTTATTTGATTTAAATTTGGTAGGATCATGACACCAAAGGAACAACCATATGATGATGCATGGGTTCATGCCCAAAAAATAGATGGAACCGTTATTATTAGTAATATATTTATTGTGACTATACTGGAAAGATGGAAAGAATAACTTGAGTAAAGATGTATTTGGTTGGCAGGTATCCCGATGTTGCAAAACGTAAGAAGGTTCCGACGGAGATCCATAAATTATTTCAAAGTAGGCTATAACAAGCAAATGAAGATACATTAAAAAAAAAGATAAGAGTTGAGGAAGAATTCTATAGGGCTACGCAAAAACCAGTTTATGATCAGTATGACGGTCGCGACGATGAAGTCTACTCGGATCTCACAGCTGTCGTGTATCATTGGAGCATCAGTATATGATCAATAAAGCAATCAGGCATCGACGTCTTAACTCACAATTGGAGTATGGCAATGGTAGTGGAATCTAGAGGTCGGTTGGCATGAGGCAGTCAACTACTCCTTTTTAGTTATGCTGAACTAGTAGTATAAGACATGGTGGACTTCGTGGTTTTATGATAAGTCTTGGCAGGAGGTCTACACCAAATATTATTAATATTGATTCGTAAGCCCATCCCCCACAAATAACGAAACAAACACGGATTAACGATGCATATACAAAAAAAAAACGAGATATTGGGAAGGCAATTTCAAAATAGTTCAACTTCCACATGATTCGAGCTAACACGGCCCAAGGTCCATATTATCATAGCATGATCTCATCCAAGGTATACGGCTTTAAATGATACCGCTCGGTACGGGCGATATGTATCGGTAAGCGGATCGCTCGTTACCGGACGGTATTATATATATATATATATTTATTTATTTATATATATATATACCGAACGGTATATCGCTCGGTATACAATACCATACCAAGAGAATGTCGAAACTTCGGTACAGTATGATATTTCAATCCTTGGTCTCATCTATTCAAAAGTTTGGCATGAGAATCCAACCTCCAACACCGAGGGAGATTCATGGCGTGTACTTAAATGAGGAGGTGGCAGAACTGAAGGATTGGATCAAATCCTTCAAGAGGCAATGAGACGAATATAGGGTGACACTGAAGTGTGACAGTTGGACAGGAATAACAAGAATGAGTATTATCAACTTTCTTGTTTATTGCAACAGAAGGGTAGTATTTCATAAATCAGTTAATGCTTCTAAAAGATCCAAGATATAGACTATATTGAGATCTTGATAGACACCGTAGTAGAGGAAATTGGACCACAGTATATTGTCCAAATAGTAACCGACAATGGAGCGAATGTCAAGATCGATTTGTAATTGATAGAAAAAAGAAAAATATTTGTGAGCTTGATGCGGTCAAGAAGTATGTAGCTCAAGCACAATCAATTACAAAGTTTATATATAATCATCATTGGGTCCACTCTTTAATGCAAAAGTATTTAAACGATGAGATACTCCGACCTAGAGTCACTCGGTTTGCTGTCAATTTCATTGCATTAAAATCATTATAGCAAAAAAGGCATAGCTTGAAGGCAATGGTCATCTTACAAGAGTGGTCTGATTTCAGATATTTGAGATTAAGCGATGGAAAGAAGATAGAAAGTTCATTCTTTCCTCTAGATTTTGGGAGATCGTAGTTGAAATCATAAAAGATGTGGAATTATATTATGTTGTTCTCCATAAGGTCGATATGGACAAGCGTCCATAGATGGCGTATCTTAAATATATGCTGATTTCAGTAAGAGAGGAGGTCAGAAAAGCATTCAAAGTTGATTTAAAGGCTGACTAATACCCACGGATCATTAATTGTCAAACTAAAGTTCATATGGATCAATATATCCATAATGCAGGTAAATTTATATTCAGAATACTTTAATTTATTATTTACACAATAAAAAATCATACTAACAAAATTATGTCTTGCAACGTATTATCTAAACCTGATAATTCAATATCGATATGCTATCGGAACGCAAAATGATTTACTAACGACACTACGAAGTGTTATATATCGACTCTTGCCAAACACTACTGATACAGTCGATGCTCTTATAGAAGGTCGATTATTTTGAGAAACTGTTGGTTTATTCTCCGACGTTGTAGCTGTATTGTGTCGTTATACCATGGATCCTAGTGAGGAAAAGTTACATATATTGATTATCAATTATATTTGATGTTAATTATTTGTTATGCTAATAAAATCTTATTTATATCTTTTTGCAGTCGAGTGGTGGTTATAATTTGAAGATGATGCACCACATTTAAGGAAGGTTGTCGTTCATGTACTTTCACAGACGACGACATCTAGTGGTTGCGAACGTAATTGGTCAATGTTTGCATTGATTCACATGAAGATCCGCAACAAACTCTCGTATAGACAGTTAGAGAAACTGGTATATGTCCATTATAATATGCGACTAAGGTTGCGACGTGCCGAGCTGGATAAGGAGCCAAAGTAACCAAATATTGATCCCATCGACCTCCAATTCTACAACGAAGATTCAGAGCCGATGTTAGAGTGGGTCGAAGCGGCAGAGAACCAAGATGATCCTCTACTTGATAAGGTGGGAGATCCTCAACGTCCTTCGCGTTTTATCATCGGGGTAATAGAAGAAGAGGAAGCACAACCCTAGCAGGTGGAAAATCCCCCTCGGTTACAATGTGACAGGAGTCAAACAACATCGAGTTAAACTGCTCAAGGAACTACAGACACCCAACTATCACAGTTGTCTGTCCAGTGTGTAAAGGCAAAGGGGAAGGCAGTAGCAACAGTCGCATTGCTGGAAAGAATCGAGTTGGGCAATAAGAGACCTTCACAATCGCATTCAGCAACTCGCTCGGTCTAGAGACATGACAGCAACACAGACAACAATGCCTTGACGGATGATCGCGGCGACGTTGGGCAGTCATTGACCTCATCTACACAACTTGAGGGTGGTGTATGGACCAAGGAGCAATATTTTACACATGCCACCCAAGATTCAGATCATGAAACTCAACAAGATACTGGTCAAGTTTATGCGTGGAAGGAGAAGGGGAAGGAGAAGTCAATGGATGAATTTGAGCAGATGCGACAGAGCCTATGTGATGTAAACACAGAACAAAGCTCATCGTATTCACACTCGTCATATTATGGAGAATCTTATGGCCAACAGTAGTACAGTAATAGTTGGTCATACTTCTCCGAGCAACAGTATGATACAGAGCAGCAGATCAGTAACAAAAGTAGAAGCTTTAACATTCACTAATACATGCCTCAGGAGCTGCCTCGGATACCTGTGATTCATAATGATCAACCTACGATCATCACCACATTGATGCACCAATGATATACAGTATATCAATACACTATGTCATGGGATCAATTTTAGGATTGGGTCCAACAAACATATCATATTGATATACAGATACATAGGATCAAGGACCTCGATCGACCACCCGTGGAGGTTGGTCGTTCATTTTGGTGGTAGAATCAACAATCAAGTATATTTACATATGTGATTATTTAATTTATTTGAATCTTAAAGTTTATATTGTAACAAAATAATCTAACAATTCAAATGATTTTTCTGTAGATATTTTAATATTTACAAATGGACGATCCGTAACAGACTGAAATATGAACCTTGCACAAGGTTATTTTACAAAGCCCGAAAAAGATATGTGACGCTATTTTTATCTAATTTACATTGATTTTGTTAAATTTATACTATTACTATATTTATTTCTAACTTAAAAATCCTATCCTAACTTTTTTTTTTTCTATTTTTCAGATGTTTTTAGAAGATTTTATGCCTAAATTAGACATATTGCTCGGTATGCCCTAGCGTACCGCTCAATACACCGTACTGTACCATACCGAGCAAAGCTCGAAACTTCAGTACAAAACAAAATTTCAATCCTTGCTTAAAAGTAAAAGAATGGGAAGCAGATATACCGAGTTTCTATATGTCACATTGTTTGCATTATCTCATCTTATGCATAGCTTGTATAACTTTTAGGTCTGCGTCCTCTATTTATTCCCACCCAGAAGTGATTTCTTCTCATGAATGGAAAGAGCTCAAGCCAGAATCAAGAGGTGGATTTTCTAACTGGATTAAAAGAGCAGTTGGCAAGAATGATATGCAAGATGGTTTCTATCAGAAGCTTCACTTTATCCTGAGTACATCACCAATGTGGGACCGGTACATTCTCAGATCATTCTGTATTATCTTTTTTTTTTTTAAGAAAGAAAAACTTTAGTGATACTTTTTTTCATGGAAGCTTGTATTCAAGTAGGTAAAGAGAAAGTAGAAAAGAGAGTACATTGAAATCATGATATTTTATTTCGGAGAAGATGAAATTAGCATAAGAGAAAGATTCAGAAGATAAGGAGAATATATGTGAAACCCATGAGAGTGATTGTATAAATTAACATTTTGAGAAAAGAAACCACCCATAATCATCCTTTTGTCAACAATTTTCTCAGATCTAGACCATTTGATCAATTTAATTAGTAAAATAGCTGCTCAATCTGTTATGTATACGTTTTGGACCACTGGACTTTCTAACCTGCTCCACTTTGTGAGTCAAAAGGTTTGTTGCTGCATAAGCGATTTGTGGAGTGACTGTTGAGCATCTGTTCTTCAAAGGAAAAGGAATCCTTAGAAAGAAAGAAATGATTATTCAAAATAATGCAAAGTTGTTAGAGTTCTGTCTTTAAATCAAGGAAAGATATACATGCCTCAAATATGCCTCGATACATCTCCTTTATCTTGCACCTCATATAACTGTTGTTGTATTTGCCTCCATGCACCAAATTGAGGCCTCCAACTGTCAGCATCTACACCCTGTCCCTTGCCTCTCTTCTACTGCTAATCACCAAGTGCCAACATCTATGCCCAACTGTCATCATCATTGTCAGGATGCTCTTTCTACTACCTAGTTGATAGAATATATGACATACAGGGCACTGGTACAGACGACAGAAATTGGACAATTCAATGTGGTGGAGGTTTTAGTATTTCAAAGACAAAGTAAAGCACTAAACTAGGAGTGACAGATCCAAAACTGTAGAGACTGCTGAAACTGAGACTCCATGCTTGACTCAAAACCAAACAGTTCATAATCTCTGAGAAAAAGAAGAATGTTTTTAATAAAAAGTATAGTTGCAACCTTACAGCATGTTGGTATAGAAAATTTGATGGCTTGCCTGATTTTGATTGTTCATGTCACATATGCCTACTAAACTTGGCCCACGGTATCAAGAGGTATAATTGAATTGAAGCACATCTGTTAAAGAACTTGATCAAGTTTCATATGTTTGATCCTTTGCTTTATCACGAGCATATTTGTACAATAAGTTTATATTTTTGGACTGCATTTTGCATTCTCGGTTCACTTTACTGATTTTTAAATTTTTAGTTAAAATATAACCCAAATCATTAGATGGTCATCAGATGGTTCTTTCGTATTTATCTACCACATTAATATATCTGCTCAACATGCTACAGCTTATTTGAAGTCCAGTGTATTTGTCATAGCCAGCTCTGTTTCTGCCAAGCACTTATACTTTGTTGTAACGTTGCCTCCTATTTGAACTCTAATGCATTTGTTTACATGTATAACATTGATGCTTGAAACGTTAAAAGAAATCTAATTGTTTCTTATGCAAATTCTTTTGCAGCTTAGAACTTAAAAGCAACAGAAATATTCTTGGTGAGTTCCTTAAGTTCAAGGGATATCAACATGACATGCAAGCTTTGAAAAATGTGAAGAGATCAAAAGTTGGTCGATTCATCGTCCAAAAGCCATCTATCTTAGGTTTAGGTAATTTATAGACTATCTTATCTATTTTATTCGTAATGCTTTGAAGAACAAGAATTTACATAATGCTTGAAAGTTAAAGTTATTATTATTGTTGCTGTTGTTATTATTATTGTCATTTCTATCAAAATTTGTAGTGATTTATGTAGTCAACGACATTGTGATGAGTGTAGATTGCAGCCATTTGTATCATTAGTAATTTGTAGACAAAGTATGAGATGCATAGAACATATATCTAACAGTGATGATCATTTAGAATATTCATGGAAAGGTCCAAAGATAGCCGGATTACATCACCCATAGACTTGATTTTTTCTTCAAACCATTTGGAAGGGTTCCACATACTTTAAATCTCGCCTTGGGGGCCTGGATTTTTGGTGCCTCTTGTATATTAAGCTCTAGTACTATGAATTTAATTTATATTACTAGAATGATTAAACATGCCTTAAGAAATATATAAGTTTCCCTTGTGGCTTGACCCCATCAATCAGTTTATCCCTGTATGAAACATTTGGAACACTTCCAGGTAATTCTCATCCCTCTAGTTCTCCCCAAGGGTTCTATAATTGGTGTCCCTCGTAAAGTGGGCTCTTGTATCTCCATAACTATCATTGAGTTTAAAATAATTAGTATAACTTATGGAAGGTAAAAAGACAGGATATCGATCCTCTAAGACTTGGACAATCAGGATTCGAGTCACAGATATAGCCTTACTTGAACCTTCCCAACACTATTGTCAACGGTCTCATGAAACAAGGACATGAATATAGTTCCTTGTAGCTTCATACCATACCTGTTTATAGATTCAGCAGCTTCAAAAAATAAAAATTAGTAATTCATACAATCATGATGATTATGCTAAAATATCTAAGAAGTAGACTAGGAAAGATATTTTAAAAAGAAGGTTTTTCTTTTTTAATGTCAGAGACCAATTTTTGTCTTGAGATGTGATTTTTTGTTTTTTTTATTCGAAGCCTGAAAACTTGGTTGCAGGCCGACCCACTGAGCCCGGCAAGTTTTCAGGTTTGCAGACAACTTAGTTTATAACTCGCAACACCAATTTTCCCTATAGAAATATGTAAATTTGAATGAACATAAAAATATTTTCACATTTCACTACAATGGAGACTTGGCTATTTTGTTGCACAAAGACACTAAATTGCTTTGAATTGCTAGAAATTGTATTAGGCCAGAATATATATATATATATATATATTTATATTTATATATTTATATATATATTTATGTAATATGCTAACCTGAACAGAGATATATTATTATGCCATCCTTCTTATCTTCAATCATTATCAAAATGCAAATGCAGGTAGCTCAAGGCTTCAGTTACTATGTATTCAACGTGATTATCAAAGCGAAGATGCTTTGTCTGATGAATGCAAGGAGATTGCTGTGGAGCCAAGCACAGAGGTCCTATTCCAGCCACTGAACTCCAACAAACTTAAGAAGTTGAAGCTTTCAAGCATTGTACGTGCAACTCTCAGTGGGTAGGCCTGCACATATGTTAATTGCAAGCACTCTGTGTTGAGTTCAGAGTTCAATCCCCTGATAGTTGCAAATCTAAGTATAATGGTTATTGGTTGTATGTACATAAAACAACTTTAGTTGCTCCACCCTTGTTCGAAAACAAAAGTAAATTACGATGTAGTTCAATCTGTTTACTTTTTTCTTCTGAAATAGACACTGTAATTAAGCGAGATCCCGGATCAAACTGTGTCTGTTAGCAGCAAAAGGTCATGCCACAAGTTTATGCTCGTTTTGGAGAATTCTTGTGTAGTTTGAAACCACGGCTGATCAGCTCTAGTTTTACTTTTGAAATCTCTGGAATTGCCTTCTTTGTGGTTGATCATGACTCTGCCTCTTTTTCTTCTAGTTAATTTGAAGTCAGGTTTAGCTTTTATGTGACCAGGCATTTGTCTGAATGAGATTTGCAAAAGTGATGCGTGTCTTCCTTGTTCTTACTTTTTTTCTGAGAAATACATGTGATTCGAATGCTATGTTAAGCAATAATTTAGGATAACTCGGAGAAATTCTCAAAGCCCATTCTTTCTTGTAATAAATCATCTTTCGACATCGAGATTCTTTTTTTATTGTAGCTATTAACAATTATTTGGACACATAATTCAGCTGCGGATATTTGACTTGGTAGTTTGATGTACATTTGGATGAAGGGCTGTCTCCCCTTCTTTACTTGATGTGATGTGCTAAGCGTATCATACTTTATGGTAACTTAGTATGTAATCTCCCGATAGCTACCATTACATGGAGGGATCATTTTCCTCCACGTGTCGTCCAGCATAAAAGCTCACCATCAGCTTACTAAGCTTCTTGTTCTGGATCCGCTGTTCGATCACCCTCAGCTCATCACTGCAATCAAAGACGAACACCATGATTATCAGCACGCCAGTCAAAGCATATAACTGATCGTGATATTTACAAGAACGCCACGGCAGGGTCCAACCTCGGTGGTGGTGCGCAGGAGCTGTTAGGGGACAGCATGCGGGCCAGCTTGACGGCGTCTTGGGGGCGGCACACTGCGTCGCCGAAGCAGATGTAACGGCCGTAAGCCGAGGGGCTCTCGTAGACAGCGACGTGAGCGTCGACCAGGAGCTGCACGTCGACGGTGACCAGGACGCCGTCCTCGTACATCTCGGCCGCTCCCTTCAGGTACGGGTTGGTGACGGAGAGCTGAGGCCCCGTCGGAAGGGCGGCGTTGACGGAGATCATCTCCACACCCCGGTCCATCGCTAGCGCCCAAGCCGTCTTCTCCGCCAACGTCTTCCCCAGGGCGTGCCACAGCTGCGGTTTTGGTCTACGTTAAATCTCTTCTCTCTCCATAAAAAAGACTTATAATAGGAGACTTACGTAAGTCTACTATGTACTGACTTGTAGATAGATTTATAGTCTCTTGCAAGTAATAAAAAGGACCAGAAGAACAAAAAATCTTTGTTGAATTTGATTGTGACAAATTGCATTAAAGTCATGTTAGTATATATGTATGTATGTATGTACGTACGGGACACAGATGAGAGATCCAAACCACTGAATCTCACATACATCGTACTAAGATTTAATTATAAAGTCTAATATAATCTAAAATATTTTATGTTCACCAAAATTAGGACACAACAAATGATATCATATAACTTCGGTAAATGGTTTGTGTGTGTGTGCACGCGCTAAACTAAGCATCAGTGTTTGGATACATACCTTGAATCCTCTGCAAAAGTTGGGCTCGCTCCAGTCCCTCTCGTCCACGGTTGCCGTCGATCTGCGTTCCTCCTTCCAGATAACTGCAGTCACCGATGACGTGAAGACGACCCTCTCCATGGTCTCAGTTTGTGCACACGCTTCCAACACGTTGTGCGCAGCTCTCACCTCCACTTCCACCATGCACTCCTGCATCTCACTGGCTCTAAGTTTGGTAGCAGTCAATTGTATCATGAAATAGACCAACACGCCAGTACTGCTGCTGGCAGACTCCGTATCATTTTTTGTGAGATCATGAGTGCAAGATTAACCCTCTAAGCAAAAGAGACGAAGTAATCCGATCAGCTCTTACGTCGTAGGGTTGATCATGAGGCGGTTCGAAAACGTAGAAAAGACCCCAGCAGCCCTTCATGGCGTCCACCAGGCTTTGGTAGTCGAAGGGATCTGCTCTGAAGCACCTGAGCTGCTGCGTGTTTTCGCCTGACTGCAGCCTCCTCAAATCGTTGAGTTTCCCTAGTGCATCCATCCATCATCAAATTTCAGCAACACTGGGTTTAGTTCTAAGTCCGATGTGCACAAGAGCTAAGGTTGCAGAATGCAGTCGGCAATCATCCATGACAAAGAGATGCATGAAGGAGATCAGGAACGGAACCATGGGACGACGCGTAAGCCGTGGCGTGAACAGTGTAGCCTCTACGTAGGAGCGCTTCGACGAGGGACGCACCGAGACGGCATGACGCGTCCATCACGCAGACCGTCTTCGGGTCACGGTGGACGAAAGCCGGCGCCATCGGAGAAGGGAGAATCTAGAGAGAGAGAGAGAGAGAGAGAGAGAGAGAGATGGAGGAGGCAGGGAGAGAAGTGGTGAGGGGAGGCTGCATTTAAAATGGGACAGTGGGCAGAAGAGAGTTGGCATTGAAAGGGCGGGGGAGGGGGGGCGGTGGCTGAAAGAGAAGTGGGTGGTGGTTGGTCTTTAAGGTGAAGTAGAGAGATGGGAGCAAGCACATTGATGGAGGAGGAGTAGGACACGGAGACGGATCTCATCAGCCTTCTAACAGAGACTGCCAACCGCTCCAAAATGAAGTAACATGGGACGCATGTGGTGGAGAAGAAACACGAGAAACGTAAATGCAAAAAGCTAACTTTATGACGACGAAGTAGGAAGACGATAAAGGACGTGAGAGAGAGAGAGGCAAAGATGAAGCGTCCACAGTGTCTGCTTTGGAGAAATATGGACACGCTTGGGCGGTCGACCGCTGCTTGGCTTGGACGAGCCATGGCGTCGGTCCCTTCTACGCCTTCGCTTCCACGCCATCCTGCGGAACCATAGTGTTGAGAGTGCAGGCAGTTCCTTGGTCTCTCTTTCACACGCGTAGATAAAGGAAGCGACTTCAAACGAGGGAATTAGATACGGATGGGGGTGGAAAGATGATTCGTCACCGGCATGATTTAGCTCGACGCCCACCGTTCACAACAGCAATATATACTTGCATAATATTATATTTAATTTTATTATTATATAATATTTTTATTTAGAAATATTAATTAATTAGGATAATAATTTCTATAGCTAAAATCTTAAATTTAGCCTTTAGCCACATAATTAATTAAGAGAAAAGAGCCAAAAGAGAGAGTCGGTCTAGGAGATTCTAAGTTATCATATTTAAGTTTTTAGTTTTAAAGTGTCTCCTCTTTTCTCCTCTATTACCATTAGCATGTATGATTTTTTTTTTATACATATCATCTTTCCATAAGATTTTTTATCAGTGTTTTGATTAATATGCTATGAGAGAAAGAAAAATAGATCTATTAGAGAGATAAAAAGATCTATACATATGCAGAGAGAGAGAGAGAGAGAGAAAATTCTAGGAGAGAAAAAATTCGATGAGACAAAATTTTGAGAGAGAATAATCATTCACAACATGAGCAGATTTGAATCTTATAACCATCAAATAAGATGAAATACGAAGATCAAGAAAGCAATCGAAAAGATTCATTTATAGTAGGAAAAGATCGATGGAAGATATCGTCATGACGTCGATAAGTTGATAGAGAAAGAATGACATATTTAAAGTTTGATCACCTTTAGAAAAAAAAGATTGAAGGTATGAACGATGATTTTTATAAGTTATTTTGGATTTTATTATTGCCTAGATTTGATGGTGGAAATGAAAAACTATGATGAGAACTTTTCTTGAATCTAAATATTTAAAAAATATTATCTTGGATGGTTTTAATGATGTGATAGCTCAATTGATCTTTAAAAATGTGACTAATGGTATAGATTTTATGTTACTTTCTGAAGAATAAAAAAAGACCTAGTTTTTAACGGAAAAGAAAATAAAAGAGCATTCAAGCTTATCTCTCAATCAATACTAGATGATAATATTATTTCATGAATTTCTAGAGCTATGATAGGAAGAGAAGTGTGATTGATCCTATAAAATATTTTAGAATGAGATATATATATCCTCCTATATTATCTAATGGTAAATCATATATATATATAAGAGGGGGTGAATTAGTGCAGCGAAAATTTTTTTCGACTTTCATATAAAGTTTGTCTCGATTCAAATCGCTTTGGAAAGATGTTGAACTTAAAACTTTCTTAAGAATATAAGGAGAAGCTCAAGAAGATTTGCAGTAAAGTAAACTGTACAAAAGGAAAAGCAAACCAGAATTTAGAGTGTTTTGATCAATGAGACCAACATCCACTTCGGATTTCTCCTCTGATGAAGTCATCGGCATCCATTAAAGGCTTTCCTTCAATAGGCGGAGACCAAGCACCTTTTACAACTCTTTCTTCTTTTGCCGGGTTTAGGAGACAATTCTTACAAGTCTTACTCCTCTTTCTTGAATGGTTACAAGGCTAAGAGAGGGAGGAAGAAAACTCTTTTCACTTTTACAATACTTTTCACACCCCAAACATTTAAAATTTTTCACACATATAATGGCACTTTTGTTACCCTTTCATGCGGAAAAAGATGGGGTATTTATAGGCTAAAATTGCTTCAAAAATAGAGCCAAAAAGTGTCTCATGCCGGATTTTCAGGGTACTGGTGGTATCATCGCTATTATTGGACGGTACTACCGCCTACAGTCTGACACTGGGTGGTACCACTATCTGACAGAGCTCTGGCGGTACCACCGCTTGAGAGGGGTAATACTATCGTTGGCAGCATTAATTACCGACGGTACCATCGCCCAGACTACCTGGGGGATTGGGTCACCAAGCGGTGCCACCGTCGATCATGTTTTCAAGTGTTGAATGGGCTGTCCAATTCAGCCCAATTCAATCCTATTAAGGGCCCATTTGGCCCCTAACTGAGTTAATGGGATCACCTCTCAATCCTAACTCAATTTACGGTTCTAACTACGATTAAAGTAAGCAATTAGTCCGATATGTCGATCTTTCCCTCAGCGATCCTCTGGCGAACTTCTCAGCGAGTCTTCCGGCGCGCTTCCGACAAACTTTTAGCAATCTTCTGATAAACTCTTGATGATCTCCCGACGAGCTTTCAACGACGAACTCTCGGCGATCTTCTGACAAGCTCTCGGCGATCTTCAGACGAGCTCTCGACGAGCTCCTGGTATATCGTCCGAATCTTTGACTTTGGCCCATCAACTGCTTTATGCCTTATCGCTATCGTAGTTAGTCCTGTACACTTATCTCAACACATAGATTAGGTCAAATAATTTATCGATTGATTTCATTATCAAAATTCAAGATTCACTAAAAAAAATAAATATTTGTTAGCAAAACAAATATATCAACTACGACAGATTCTGCTATAGTATTCTTACTAATATTGAAGATGCGGAGATCATACAAAAGCAATCTTCTAACGATATGGATCATATTGATTTTTTTATAGTAGATAATTTTGCTAAATTAGATTATATTATTTTCATTGGAAGTATCAAAGTATTTTAATCTCTCTATGAAAATAAAATCATAAAGCTGATCCTCAAATGTTCAGAAGATGTTGATATGAAGATCATCATTATTTAAGATGAAGTTATAAAACTTGATAAATATTCTATGATAAAGAAATTATATATCTATGTAGATAATTGATTCAAGAAATCTGACAAAATTGGTTCTAAACGAATTAAAGTCTTATAGTTGATCAGGACAGATAAACACCACACATAGAAATGACATCAAAGGACATTACATCATGCTTCAAGACTTTTATTTTATTTTATAATATTTAATTTAGACTAGGATATTAAATTATTAAATCAAATTTTATGATCAGATAAAATTTTGGTCGAGTGTAAGCCAAGATAGGAGTTCCCATCATAATTGGAGTCAAGACAGGAGAATCATGAAATGCTTTAAACAAACACATAATTGGGAGAAGAAATAATTTAGAGTCAAAAGAGGAGAGATTATAAGTTATTATATTTATTTAATATGAGTTTTTAGTTTTATTAAATTTTTTTTTCTCTCTATTGTCACTTTATGATTTCTTTGATGCTCACTATGTTTTCAACCATCACCAACAAGCAAGCACAAGACAAACTTTTCTCTGTCTCCTCACTTCCTTCGTCAACTCAGTCAGTCCACCACTAATTCAACTCAAGTTCTTGTCACATTTCGACTTTGTCTCCAGTCTCCAACCTCGAATTAATCCTATCAGCACCACATTTAGATCGAATTTTATCTATCTACCTCATTTCGATACTGATTATAATCAAAAACTTAAGTTTCTAAGTTATAAGCCAAACAAACATATTATATGTAATCGAGATTATTCACCATAATATATATAATACCTTTGTCTACCTCATCTTAAGTCTTCCAACTCGATGAACATTCATTCGATCATCAAATATCACACAATCGACAAGGTCCGGAAGCGCTGCTGCAGGCCACAAGTTCAAGTGCATCTAGTCCTGCCATGGCTTTCGCAGGACTCCATGCACAGCCACAGCAACAGAGAAGGAAGGAAGAAAGAAAGACAAAAGAGCATCTCGTCCAGACGCAGCAAAGATTGACATGCGTTCTCCAACTGGACCTGACTGAGTGGGCCGGTCGTTTACATGCACACCGGAATGTCGACACATTCATTCTCTCACAATCCAACCCCTAATAGGCTTACTACAAGTCTCGAATCGATGCAGGGACTATGAAACCGGGAAGGACCCATGATGGTTTTCCTTCGGCGGAGCCTGTTGTTTCGGAGGATTCCGGGTTCTCAGCGGCAGAGCGATGATGGTCACCGGGCTTTTGTTCTCTCTCTCTCTCTCTCTCTCTCTCTCTCTCCCATAAAAAGGAAAGGGTAAAATACCACCACCATTCCCCCGGTTTCTGCAAGCAGTAGCACCCAGTTTGAAGCATATTTCCAAGGATTTGGCCCTGTTTCCTATTTTGATCAAGTACTAAATGTTTGATTGCTAAATTCTATGGGCGTCATTGGGACGATCCGATGGTGTTTTACATGAACATAAGAAGAGACACATAAAGCCTGCATTCCAAATCTCTGTGCCTTTCGAACCTGGAAATCCACAACACGCGATATCTGTAGCTGATTAATCTCGACTCCACTTTGCTTTTACCCACCCAAAATTGGGACAATAACAAGAAAAGTCCCCACGTGGCTACTCCTGCGCCGTCCCCTCGTGGGTACCCCCGTGCCCCCACCGCCTCGTGTCGTCTACCTCCACGTGTCCCCGTCCATGTAACGTCCCCAAAAGCAAAAGGCTTTCTTGTGTCACGTGGGAGGCCGTCACGCGCGTCCGCGACGCACTCGCCGGTACCCGTGACGCCGTCTAGTGATGGTATAAAGCAGAGGCTTCCGCCTCCAGTAGGTTCAGTCGACGAGAAGACCAGGCATCCTACAGGCCGAGTGAGCTCTCATTGACGGCGATGACAGCAGCGATCCTAACCCGTTCCTGCTCGTTCCTTGGCGAGCCGGGGAGATATGGGGATTCCGCCGCCGGGATATCGTTCCTTCGGCGGAACCGGAGCGGCTTGCTGCTGCCCCCGCGATCCCGGTGCGCTGCCGCGCTCCACTATGAAGCAGAGGTGGGGAGGGAGGGGCGCCTCCTTCGGCGAGTCAGGTCGGAGGGCGACCTCATTCCATCGAACCGCCCGGGGCAGGTGGAGTTACAGGCGAACCGGTTCGATATCGGAGTCGCGGTTCCGGCGATTCCGCCGGTGGAGCAAGTGGCGTGTTCCGGCGGGGGGATTGGCAAGGGGAGGAAGGTCGGCGGGGGGAGGGGCGGCGGCGGAGGCGGCGATCAGAACCACAACAGGAGGATTGCAGAGCATTACCAGCGGATGCTACGGTCCGACCCTTCGAGCGCACTCCTCTTGAGGAACTACGGAAGATTCCTGCATGAGGTGAGTGGCTGAGATTCCAATTTTACGCCACTTCGAGGTCGCACTTTTTGCGCGGGGAACAAAAGCTGAGCTTTTTGCGCCGTTCACTTCGTCTGCAAAGGTGGAAGGAGATGCAAAGGGTGCGGAAGAGTACTACGGGCGGGCGATTCTGGCGAGCCCAGGCGACGGCGAGGTGCTGTCGCTCTACGGCAAGCTGGTGTGGGAGACTCACAGAGACGGGGAGAGGGCCGAAGCCTACTTCGAGCGCGCCGTCGAAGCCTCCCCCGACGACTGGTACGCTTCCTTCTTCCCTTCACCCCCAAATAAACCCATCTCTCCACCCGAACCATTTGATCTTATGGCATATGTGGCTGTGTGCTTGTAGCTTCGTGCTGGGCTCTTACGCGCATTTCTTGTGGGACGCCGAGGAGGAGGAAGAGAAGGGGACGATCCAGGTATCTTCACCGCTGGCGGAGGCTTTTTGATGCGGTCTGACTTGATCTGAGAATAGGACGTACATAGGCAGTCAGTAGTCGGGAAGAGTCAGAAGGTGTAGGAGAGGACAGTTGCTGATGTGTTTGCAGTTGCTTTTTGTCTTCTTTCCTTTTTCGCTTCTGTTGTATCCTTTGCGGTGGATATCTATCTAGTTGTGAGCGTGCAGTACACGAGCATCTTCTGCGTTATGTGACCAACATGTCTAAGCAACGTGCATATTGAGAGATACTCTTAAACCTAATCCTTTGTTTTAATGCAATACAGAGGTATCATCATTCAACTTCTAAGGATTGAATGATCAACCGAAACTAAATGCTAAGTTTCTTGTTTCATGTTTTGCTAGAGCAAGTACTAAAAAAAAAAAACTTGGTATGAAGAGTGCCTTCAAAATGATTAATTATAAATTATTTCATGTAATTAATTATCTTTAATATTTCGATCTTTAAATTTTAAAAAATTATATTAAAATTTTTATACTTATGATAATAAAATATTTAATCTAATTTCTTATCACGTCACCAATTATATTGATGAATTTAACGATTTGAATAAAAAAAAATAAGATTAAATATTTTATTTTCGTAAGTATAAAAATCTTAATATAACTTAAAGTATAAGGATCAAGATTCCAGATACTAAAGATTGATTAATTATAAAAGATAATCTATAATTAATCTTCAACACAAAGGCTTTTACATGTTTATCCTATCACAATTAGCTAATACACACAATATTTAATGCAACAGACAATTTAGAAGCTGGATTGCACAAAAATGTAGATTGCAAACATTTTGGAGAAGCTGGATGGCACGAAAATGTAGATTGCAAACATCTTCCTCAAATCAAAAGATGAAAAATGTTCATTTTCACAGATTCTGGGACCAGCTTATGTAAATCTTTAATGCTAACATTGCTCAATTTTTATATTAACACTTTGAAAAAAGAATAATTAAACAGAACAGACATTGTAACCGAGGATCAGTATGACTACAGTTGCAACCAGTAGTGGTATGAGCAAATTACTTTCCCTTGAGTCAGTGCACAACATAAACTTGATAAAAGCAACTAACATCCAGAAATGGTCAGAAGAAGAATTCCTCAGGTAAATAGTGGAATTTCCTTGATAGAAAGCTTTTGTACCTCCCTTTGAGATTTGCAACTGCAATAGAACAACTTTTAAAAAGGCCAAATTCGAGGAAAATGAGAGGCCAAAAAATTATAACTTGGTGCCAAACTGAAGGCATGAGCTTTGGCCGTGGCATGCATCCAGTGGACAACAGGTGGCGGGGTTGGGTCTGATGAACTTCTGGATGCACACCACGTCAGTAACTCATGCTATATGTCAGCATTGACCATTGATTGAGTCAAGGTTTGTAGCATTTATGGGAAGAAATGATGTAGAAATATGATTACCCTTGGCATCTGAAGCATTTGGTTTGCTATCAGACAATTTACCAGAGAAAGTTGACTCCACCAGCTCCATATACTCCTTGCCTAAGTTCCATAAGAACATTGAATTAATCAGCATTATGCAAAGGGATGGTTTCTTTCCAATAGAATCTCATCCTCCAACGCACCAGTAATGTGCTCTCCACTGTCACTGACATTAATCAGGAACGAGGGGATCTCATTTTCTATCAACTGCAAAAGAATGAGATAGTTAAGATGTCTTACAGATCTTAGTTATGAACAGGAACAAGATATTAAAATGTTGCTGCATCTACAAAAGTTCAAAGTCTAGTAGCCACACCTCTAGGAAAAGTGCCTTTGCAAGCTCCAGTAAATCAATAGGTGAGGGGCCCTTGATGTATGCAGGCACAAACTTACCTTCCTGATATCCAGCCAAGAAGTGATATGCAGCTTGACCTGGAGAGAGCTTTGATATCAAAGGAAAAACACCAGTACTGCAATTCAAACAATGAATCAGTTGTTGGTAGAAAGTAATAGTAATTAGCATCATTATGCAATCAGACGAATGGTCATTCTTGCTATGCCATCATTCAAGTAGATAAGAAAAATACAGCCAACTTCTATATACAACACAGTTTAGTACTTGCATATAAAATTTGTAAAAGGCTTTGTTTACAGATGTTTTGTCGAACGATCATACTTGTCCAACATGATACACATGGTTGAAAATGCAGGACTGGAGGTAAACGTGTTGACATAGAAATATGACAGAATAGAAGACTGTATTAATTAAGAAGTGAATTTACACTGCAATTCCAAAGGTAATAGCACTCCGAACAATTGAAAGTAATTAAAAAAATTACTTTGTAATCATTAAAACTAATAATAAAAAAAAGGTAATAATCAAGACATGTTCCAAGTAGTAAACTGTAATTACAGAAAGACTAAAAAATGACCACAGGACTAACATACAAACGAACAGGAGTTCCATAATAAAATTGTTGTGTAATAATAAAAACACAACTTTTTCTAATATCTTTAAGCTGTAAAACCCTAGGGAATTACAATTTAACGACACCTATGAAAAAAGGATGCCCATGCTGGGTAACTGTAATGCCTTAATTTGACATAATGAGAAAAACCTAAGGTTAGGGTTAATCCCCCTTTATTTGTTGCCACCATCCTTCTCTCGTGATAGAGCAGGCGACTATCGAGGGAGGAGAGGAGATGCCAATGCATCATCTACAAGAAATAAAGGTAGGGATCCAAATCCTTAACTTTCATGCATCATCCTCCTCTTTTTATTTTTAATATCCCATTCATGTTTCATTGATATTCTCTTCCCATATCACGATCTATATTTTATTTTATTATGATCTTAAGATTAATATAGAATATGATATATTTGGCTGATATAAATTTATAAAGTAAAATTTGTGATTTAAATCATCTTAAATCTCTCTTGATTTTCTAACAAAACTTTTATTATTAAGATTAGATTATTTAACTATACTTTTATTATTGAGATTAGATCATAAGAAATTTATTGTAAAAAGAGAATGAGAATGCGAAGAGAAAGAGAGGACTTAGAGCCCATCAACTAGTGGTTGACCACAACAAAGTATTGTTTAACATAAGAGAATAATACGAAGGATACAAAGAGGGAAGTCACTAAGAAGGAAATAAGCAACAAAAGGAAAACAAAATACAAGATCTAAAGAAAAATAATAACCAATTATATATTTTGACATGCACATTTTGATTTGTTAAATTTATATTATAATGCTTCTTGATTAAGTATGGAAACAAAGAACATCACTGACCAGGAAAATGTAAACCATGAATTAAAGTATAGGTTTAGACTTAACTTCTATACATGAATATAAGTAATCATGTTGTTGATATAATAAATATTTCTTGAGGAACAGTAAATATGATTTATTAAATCTTCTCAATATATGAAATGAAGAAATCTCACACCCTTATATAGAGTTAAATTGACACTATAATCTCACATTAGTAATGATAATCCTCAAGAATATTTAATTCATAATTTACTAAATTAAATCGAGAGTTTGATTACGTCTAATAAATGATCTCTTATTTATTTACAAGTGTTTATAGTACATATAATTAAATAAAATAAAAATTAGATTACTATAGTTAAAATAATATGGATATATTGTCGGTTGATGGTCAACCTGACTAATTGAAATAGAAACATAAATTTGAGTGTCATCTAATCCTATAATCATTTTTAGCACAAGATTTGGACATATATTTTGTTAAATGAAAAATTATTATGCTTGAAATATTAGTTTTGTTAAAAATTAAATAAATATTTTATTTATTACATTGAAAAATTCATATTTTATATATTATGTCATTCATAATGGTTAAATATTAATTTCATGTCATGTATTAAGTTATGATTTAATGTTTAGAGACTTAATGTTATTCCCATATTAAATTTTAACCATACATTCATTTGATGAATCTTGTGTTTGAATATTAACTTTATTTTATTCGATATGTGATATGATGAATGTTTATATTGCTTGTGTTATTAAATAGTTAAATGATTAATTATTTAGTCTATTTTCATATACAAAAAATCATGAATTATAAGTGTCGGTGTGCTCCATAAAGATGCATATATAATTATACATTATTGACAATAGATAGAACATTATATATTTATTATATAAATAATTTTAAGTTAGGTTCTCTAACTATAGACTAATATCTCATTATGGATTCCAAGGGTTGTAAACCTTCAGATTAAGGGATGACATATAAGTCTACCAAGGCGAAGGCTCGGAAGTAATGAGATATTATAAGTTGAATCAGGTAGTAATTTTAGTAAGAGAATTAAAATGAATAGTTTTACTAAAATAGATTAACTTTTATAAATATTACGTCAACAAGGGTGATATGCTATCATACTCTAAGAAATGTACTAAAGGGTGCTAAAACTGTAACCCAACACTTGAGATAACGTTTAAGCCTATCAAAAATGTTGTCCACATGACAGGGCTACTGGGCTAGTAACCTCAGGTTTAATACAGTTCCATAATTGCTTTTATTTCTTATATGAATAAGAGAGTATATGTATATAGTGTAACATGATATGAGAAGAAGAAGGAAAAAAAAAGATAGATGTGTGACGTGTAACATGGAGTTGATCCTTATTACATGATGCATAATAAACATAATGTGTTCCTTACTAAAATGGTATTAATCCATGACATGCAACATTGTACGACATGTAATATGTAATTAAAATAATATATGAATAAGTATCAATTGTGCATGATTGATATGATAATTTCTATCACATCAACATATAATCAATATGCGACAGTTATAAACCATTTGTTATGATATATAAAACATACTCTGGTTAATGTGTTAATTTTATTCATTGACACTTCTATGCATAACATAGATCCTTGTGTTCATAATGATTCAACATATTATGGCATGCTTTATTTAATTTCTTATCCTATTCTCTACTGACATTCGTGCTCACACGAAAATACAAATTTGTTTGATCTTCTTGAGATTCAAATTAGGTCAGATCGGGGCATGACAGATCATGCATGAACTAAATTCCTTTTTCACATAGTTGTATAACATTTTTCTTAAAATTAATACATCTGTTATAACAATAATTAATTACCAAATCCACCTTCACCTCGAATAGTCCTTCTCCTTCAGCTCTTGCTCTAATATCATGCTATCTTCAAACAAATATATTTGGGCTAAAAAACTTTTTAGCCCAAATGCCCAATAGAGAATAAGATAAAGATCAAATGAAGCATTAATAATATGTTGAATCATTATCAACAAATGTAAGGGTCTTATGTCATACGTGAGTAGAGCATCAACGAATAAAATTAATTATAATATATGATTTATAACTATCACGTATCGATCATATATTGATGTGATAAAAAATTATAATATCAATCGTGCATGATGTCCACTTATCCATGCATTATTTCAATTGCATATTACATAGTATATTCGGTCACATGTCATGAGTTAATATTGCTTTAACAAATACCACATCACGTTTAATACATATGAGGGTCAACTTCATATTACATATCATAAATTTCTCTTTTTTTTCTCCTTTCATCTTTTCTCATATCACATGTTATAATATATATATACACTCTTGTTCATTCTTTTGTTCATACAAAAATAAGAACGATTATGAAACTTGGGTACGCACTAAACACGAGATAACTAGCCCCATCTAGTGGACAACACCGTTGAACTTTAATATTATCTAACGTGATGGGTCACGAGTTTGTTACCTAAGGGGATATTTATCACATGATGATAACACATCATTCACATAATATTTATGAAAATCAATTTATTTTAGCAAAATTAATCTTTTTAACTCTCTTACTTATACTATCTCATTGTCTCCTCCTCGGAGGATTTAAATATCATTCTTTCGTCGGTTTGAAGGTCTGCCACCCTTGGAATCTGCAACGAGGTATATGTCCATAGTAAGAACTAGAACTACTAAGAACCTAACTTGAAATTATATATTTATTTATAATAAATATATAATGTACTATGGCTATGCACAATTATATAGGTATCTTTATGGAACACACCAATTTACGATTCAAGATTTTTGACATATGAATACAAGGATTTTAATTTCGAGATACGGGTGGTACATACCGGTCCGCCAATAGACCGATACGTGGACCGCCCGCTATCGAGTGGTATCAGCCTAGCTACGGCGAGGGAAGAAGAAGCGTCGAGGGAGAAGAGGGAGAAGGCACTCGAAGAAGTGAGAGAACCTCAACACTTTCCGATTTGATGACGCCCTCCCTCGACGATCCCGATCCAGCAAGTAACGAAGAGGCAACGACTCGGCTTCTTCTTCGCCACGTTCTTCATCGAAGACTGGAAACGCCTACGGCCTTCGCTGCATTCTTTGCCGAAGGCCGAAGACGTCTGCGGCCTTCGACGTCTTCACAGAACACCATAGATGAGGAGAAGACCGCGTTCTTCTCCTCGTCGCGTCGCGTCGAAGGCCAAAGATGTTTGCGGCCTTCAATGTCTTCGCTGAATGCCGCATATAAGAAGACCGCATTCTACTCCTCGTTTGACGTGATGAGGGGAAGAAAGGAGGCGACGTTGCCGAGGTAGTGTACTCCTCCTTTTCTTTTTTATATTATATTATATTATATTATAATATATATATATACAAATACCGAGCATTACAACCTAGCGTACCGCTCGATACACCCGTACCATATCATACCGAGCAAAGCTCGAAACATCGATGCGATACGAAACCTTGCATGAATATGAATTAAATAATTAATCATTTAAGTATTTTAAAACACAAGTAATATAAGCATTCATCATATCATATATCGAATAAAACAAAATTAATATTTTAAACACAAGATTCATCAAATGTATGCATAGTCACAAGATTCATTGAATGCATGCATAGTAAAATTTTAATACAAGGATAACATTAAGTCTCCAAACATTAACTCAACTTTGTATATTCATATATGACATGAAATTAATATTTAACCACAATGGATAACGTAATACATCATGAATATTGATTATTTTTACATAATAAAACTAATATTTCAAACATAACGATTCTTCATATAATAAAATATATGCTTAAACCTTATGTTTAAAATGATTAAAGGGTTAGATGTCACTCAAATTAGTCAAGTTAATTATTAACCAAGAATTTATTCATATTATTTTAACTAAGTACTCTATTTTTTTATTTTGTTTAATTATATGTACCTAAATGAAATATTATTTATTACACATCTATTAAGCACTCGATTTAATTTAGCAAATTCAGGTTAAACATCCTTGAGGCTTATCATTACTAAATGTAAGATTAAAGGGACAATTTAACTCTACATAAGGGTTGAGATTTATTCATATCATATGTTGAAAAGATTTAAGAATCATATTTACCTAACTATATTCCTCATGAATTATTTATTATATCATCAATATTTTACTTATACTCATGCAAGAGTTAAGCTTTACACCTATATTGTAATTCATGGTGCATTTTTTTGGTCAATTTATATAATCTGTGTCTCAACTTGACTTGATGGAATAATTGATTTATTAACTTCAACTTAACCATTTTGAGTTGTTAACTTTAGCTTAAGCTTAAGTTAAAAGTAATACACCCATCAAATCCTTAGTTATTCTAAGTTTTTGCTTGCCTTAGATGTGGGACTAAACGAGCATGTTAGAATATGTTTTTATTTCCATAAGTTTTGCATGTCATAATTTAATCAACATGTATTCTGTTATAAATTTAACAGGAGGGCTAGAAAGATAAAATGAGATTTGAGGATCAAACCTATATATTTATGTTATCTATATATAAGATACTCCAAGAGAACTGTTATGTCTTAATCATTGCAAATTTGCAATGATTTAATTCCAAGGAAGAAAATATCGTCTTATTCGTCGTCTCCATTTTTTTATATAATTATTCAATTTGTATTCCTTATTGTTATTATTTTTAACATATCACTTATCATTATTACTATTTCCTTCTTGTATGTAGGATTTTGTTTTCTTATTTATAAATATTGCTCTTATAAGATCTTTATCTATATTTTTTTCTTTACTTTTTTCTTTTTCCCTTTTTCTCTTTTTTTTCCTTTTCTTTATTTATTTATATTTAGTTATTATTTATGTTCTACTTCTTTCTTTTTCCTTTATTGTCTTTAACCTTCATCTTTTTGTTCTTTCTCTTTTTTCACTATTTATTATTAATTATAATTTTCTTTCGTGAACCTTACTGTTGCTTAATTTTTTCTTTTCTTTTGGAACAATAAATGTATGAAAAATATTAAATATAAAACCTTAATACCGTTTCCTCCAAATAACCTCATCCATCATGATTTTATTATAACAAAAGAACAACATATCAAAGTGACACATGTTAAATTATATATGACATCATAAAAATAATTGTGATATAACAACAAGTTCTTGATCCTTTACTAAAGGAAGCTCCATACACTTCATTCTAACTAATTTTAATTTGTATTATTGAAATCACTTGAAAGAAAGATGAGAAGCTTTATTACAAATTGTATTCTTAAAATAGCTTTAAAAAAAAGTAAAGAATCCATTGGTCATTAAATTTGAATTCAAAATAGAAAAGATATAATTTGATTTACATCAGTCCCTAAAAATTTCACACAGATCTCTGGAACCTTACAGATCAGTACCTATATATTACAATCAAATCCCTAGTCTTTGTGAATCAGTTGCATACTAAAAATTAGTTCTCATGACAATATAAATCATCCTTAACATAATTTGGATCCATTTCTAACATTTAATCATTCTTTCTTATTAAATTGACCTTTAATTTATTCAAAGTCTTTTATATAATGCTTTTGTATATGATCCTTGAAATCGTTTAATTACTCATATAATGGTTGGTTCGCCTTTAATATCACATTATATAATTGTTTATTTTTTTAGATCTTTTATTTTGTTTTTCTTTTCTCCGTTATTTCCTTCTTCCTTAGTATCCCCGTGACTTACCTCTTTATTTTCTCCACATTATTTATCTTATATTAAATAATAATTTGTTATAGTCAACCACTAGTTAATGAGCAATGGCTTATCACTCTCTTCTCTTTTTTTTTTTTATAATAAACTTCTCAGGATCTAATCTCAATGATAAAAATATAGTTTATTAATCAAGAGAGCTAATAAATCACAAATTTGCTTTATGAATTTATATCAACCTAACATATCATATTCATATCAATCTTAAAGGTCACCATAAAATAAAACATAAATCATGATATGAGAACAAACATCAATGAAACATAAACAGGATATTAGCAAGAAAAAAAGGAGGATGTAGGAAAGTCAAGAATTTAGCTCCCTACCTTTGTTTCAGGTAGGTGATGCCCTAGCATCTTCTCTCCTCATTTCTCAGTGCATTCTCTACCATGAGAGAAAGGGATGGTGGCTTAACCCTAGCCCTAGGTTTGACTTATTATGTCAAATTACAAGATTGCCAGGGTATTACACTAATGATAGGACTAGTATAGCCATAAGAAGCTTAATGTTCTTTCTTAATGAAATCAGATGGTAATTTTTGTAAAAGGAAATCATATCTATCAAAGATAACGAAAATAAAATTTTCACATCACCTATCAGCTGTGGCAAAGATTACAGAAGATGGTTTCTTTAGCAAATTTGATGCTGCGGAATCCTTGGTTTGGAAAAATGGTGCAGTGCCATGAGAAGAAAGTATCACACCAGTATCTACAGACACTAGAGATTTGCAGAGCTCTGCACATTTCTTGATAGTATCTTCTGGAGCAAACAGCAAAATCACAGAATCACCAGATACAAGAAGCCTAACAAAGACAAATCTTATATGAGTTACCAGCAGAACATGAACAATGACATCAGGAATGATTTAATAGTTGCTACCTGGCAGAAAGAGGCAAGCCCTCCCTTGCAAATATTACAGGAGCAGCCAAAGCAGCTAAAGCATTTTTCACAGCAGTAGCATCAGCAAAAGCTTTACCACATATGATAAGTGATGAACGCTCTACATCAGCAGCTGCAAATCCATTAGATGCTTGTGAGCCAATCCTTAGAAAATCCATAGCACTTGAACTGTAAGAACAGTAAAAAAGCAAACGGAACGTAAGTTGCATGCACAAGATGTTGATCACAGATAGCCCAAATCAGATAATATAGTTACATCCCTCTTGTAGATGCTGACTGTGCTAATGAAACAAAAGAATAATCTCAGAAGTCATTTTCTGCAGCAAGAATATACAGCTAAAATGAATGCTGTCTCTGGTCCACATCAAAATCCAACACCCACGATGTCAAACTTTTAGCAATTCCACCTAACATGTTATGCTTTTCTTCTTTTTTTTATTCTTCATGATTTAGACAAGCAATAGTTATATGTGTGCATCATTCATATCGTTAAGACGACAAGAAACCATTCTCACAAACAAGTTAAGACCACCAGTGCATTTGCTATCCTCCACGCATAAGAAGGCAAGGTGAGAAGAAATTATTGACAAGCATTTTCTTGTAGTTATTGTTGGCTTGTGTAGAGTGAAGAGTGAAGGAATTAATAAAATTAAATGTATTTGATAAAATCCACACCTCCCCTTAGAAATGATTTTCAGGTATAATGCTTTTAAGCAAGATTCTCAATTTCGATGTGTAACACCCAGTCCGGACAGTACATACTAGTCCGAGAGGATACCGATATACGGAGCGCCCTTTACCGGGCAGTACCAATGTTTTGACCCATATCGGGCGATACAGGGTCTGTACCGACTAGTAACAGTCGAAATCCAATTGTTACTGAGGTGTACCGATCAATATACCCCAGTTTCGACTATTATCGAGGTGTACCGATTGGTACGCCTCGGATTTCAACCGTTACTGAGGCATTTTTGGACATTACCTCTAGGTATTTTTGGAGGTTTTTTCAACTTATTTTTGGGTGTACCACCAGTACACCTCGGTATGTACCATATCGAGCAAGGCTCGGTACACCGATACGGACCGAAATTGAGAATCTTACTTTCAAGTGTGGTACATACTATTTAGATACTTGACCATAAATACTTACGGTGAGATCTTTCAACATAGAAATATACTCAGACTTCCTAAGTTATATTTATTGGTCAGGAAGGCTATACTTCAACACATCACATCATCCAAAGTCTTACTTGCAAGATATTTTTCTGGTTTTTTTACACATGTCCACTCGTACAATGACATAGCTGGCTCAATTAAGAACCATGATCTTGATACAACGATTTAATGGCATATTGTCAACTATCCATAGACAAACTGGAAAGCAGAATCAATCATAAGGTAAAACACAGAACTGCTGCTACCTGATTGAGCTAGCAATATAGACTGTCAACGGGCAAGAGTCATGTGAAATTGCACGACTGGGTGTTTCCCATAAAATATTAGATAGTGACAGCATGGCAGAGGGATTATCACTGATGACACGGACCTTTACGTCACATTTTGGAGATGAACCAATTACTCCATCTTGGACAAAGACATCCGAGACTGATGAAATGTGAGATGTAACCTAGAAAAAGAAAAAGACGCATGCATAAGCAACAAATAGTTCACAAAAACACATTACAAATGGATACAGATCCATAATTAATTTAGTTCACATAAGCGCATTACAAATGCCAACGTGTCACAGTTTCATATATTTGCAACTAAAGCCGCATAAAATCTTTCAGTACTCGAGTGAGTCATTGCTAATAACCTGTATCAGAATCCAAAAATAAGAAAGGCCCACTTCACTATTAGTGCAATTGAGTGCAAATATTTGAACTGAAATGCTACGTATATATGAAACATTTTTGACAGTTTTCTTAGAAAATATAACATTACTTTTTTAGGATTTGAGAAATCATTAATGGAAATAGAAAACAAGATATGCTATCAAGTGTGACTCAATAACATACATAATACTTATCATAGTAGTTTCTAAATATTGGATTAAACAAACAGAAAACAATACAATAAATGTCTATATAAGACAATCACATAGTAAATCCAAGATAAACTCTGTTTCCCCTTCTATGATTTACTTTGAAACCTAGTTTGAGCATATTCTCTGAATCTTACAAAACAAAGTCATCACAGTAGCATTCTGATTAGCTTTTAGATTCTCAAGACTGAATCTCTGGCCAAGTTATTTTTTCAAAATATAATCTTCAGTCAAGTTCTTACCAATGGATTTGGTGACCATACAACAGCAATTGTTTGCTGTTAGAAGTTTAATGAGAAAAGTACAGATTTGGATAATTATATGGTCATAAAAGTAGGAAAGAACTAGAAACGCCTTGCTATTAGATAACTTTTCCAGTTTTCCCTAACAAAGAAAACTTCACATTAGAAAATTTTGAAAAACTTTGGCGTTCTGCACTCTCATGTCACTGAATTACAACAGGATTCTTAAAGCAATATATTTTTACAAAATGCTTTAAATCATAATTACATTTTTAAAAACGAATTTGCTTTTCAGACAACTAAACATGGAAGCTCATTTCTTGTTACAAAACTTTACAAAGGTCAACAACAGGTACTGATGAGAAAAGGACTAACAAATTATGCTTTTTGACATGTGATATCCTCGTACACCTACATCCCATATTGAAAATATATAATACAAATACCAATTCAAAAGGCCTAACAGAAACCTACAAGAATCTAGATATTACATGAATAACCAGTTAAACTACATCAAACTGCCACCAGAACCAACTTATGAGTCCAACAGAGGACACAACATAAACTGACTAAGACTACTTGTTTCAACCACGATAACATATCACAATCCTTGTAATACGAATACAAATCAATCATATCCTTATACAATTTATTGCAACAACATTATTGAGTCTGACGAAAGCAAAATCACAGAATGGTTCTATGTGAATGTAGAAAACAGCCATTAAGGCAAACAGACATCTAAACCTTACTTCACCTGTTTCAAAATTTTGCCAAATTGAGCGTTCGAAATTTCTGGACCTCCACCAGAAGTACATCCTCTCACATAAAGTGGAACAGTAGCCAAATGTTCTGCAAAATGCAGATGACAAGCTGTATGATTTTGGATAAGAAAAATATCATAGAAGCTCAAAGGAGAGAAAAGACACTAGAACTAAAAGACACCATGAGTTTTGTATTACCGACTGTGATTGCACCTTTCTTTTGAAGTTCAGACTTCTGCAAGTTATGAAAAGACTTATCCTTTATAATTACACCTCTTGCAGCAAGAGCCCAGTTTAATCCATAAGAAACTCCTAGGCCTTCTCTACAGCATGTATAACTGGTTAATGATGTTTAATCATTACATAAAAAATGATAACTACAAAAAGGATAAAATGACTTAAAACAACTATGCTGTCAATGACAACATATAAGCTAATTCTAGTTAAAAACCTTATATAAAACCGAAAGCAGCTTCCAAAGTACCTTAGGCTTGGCTTCATTCAGTTTTTATATCCTTGTCACAGGATATCTAATCTTTGTTCCATGAATCATGAACAAATTGTGTCTACAACTTCCAAAAAGATCTAGTTGGAATATACGACTGAAACAGCTGGGTTTTGATTGTGCTTAGAACCATCTTCTCTAAAGAAGACACTCTCTCAGGATAATATACTAATTTAAATGTTTAATTTCCATGACAGCCATCCGATTTATCACTTTTTAATGTATGTTCTACCCTTGTTTAGGAGGTACTGTGGAGCATCAGCTTGTAAAGCTCGTAATGTGCATACCAGCAGACATCTCTGCAGGGCTTATGATATATGCAAATAGTTAAAAGTTCATCTTATCTTACAAGCAGCACAGAGATCGTCTTCCTAGGACATTCTACTTCGAGATTATAATGCATGCATAACAAATGAGGACAAGAGTGTTTTGGTTTGATCTTTTGTTGGTTCCTGCACAAGCAGACAAAATGGTTAGGCTGCAAATATTGAAAGGTATGATAACCCTCTAGAAATCTTGTATGGTAACTCTTGAGACCTTGCCAAAGGTTGGCAATCTAAGATTTCATAGTTAAACTGCATATAGCAATCTCTCCTTTATCCCCAAATAAAACTTATGTTTTTGTAGATTCAATAAAGTCGGGTTTAATTTTGGAAAACATATTTACATCAAAATTATAATACCAAAAGCATGACATTAATCACATGGACTTCATTCATCAGTTAACTAATAGAGTAACATTATCAAGTACTTCTATTTTAAAAAACCAAGATAATGTTTTGTGTTTATTGAAAAAATAACCCATTAAACTTTACCTCGCAAAGATTGATTTTGTGCTTCATCCTCAACTAAAGGTGCTGAAACTGCATACTGAATAACTTATCTGATGAGAATATATCCAATTATCAAAACATCAATTGTATGGAAATTGCAGAGCAAGAAAACACACAACCTGAGCACTGAACATATGGGCATATAATCCAAAGGGTTTAAAAAAAAAAAAGAGTGTGGTAAAATGGATCAAGTGTGTCAGAATAGTTGTTTGGATCCTTTACCATTCAGTCAAGCAGCTGCATTTTGTAACATAATTATCAATATCCAAGATACAATTAACAACAGCTTCCAGCGCAATAATTGACAACTGTGGCATGTCAAACGAGCTATGAGACAATTTGAGTAGTTAGATTGTACAAATGACAAGATGGACATAGCTATGTGTGCCGCAAGATAGACCAACTAAAAAAATGATTATACTTTTTAGGAAAAACCAACTACTATATCCTTGGGAATTAGAAGCATATGCAATGAAGTGAATAGTAGAAATACCTAACAAATCCTAGTTAATGAACCAAGTTTGTTTGATCCGTATATTTTCTTTGTAAGAATTCAAAAAATAGCGAGAATAGCAGTAAATTGAGAATCCCAAGATAGTAAAATGCATTTTTTGAGAAGAAATAATCAGTGCCATAAAATACAAATAAATCATGCCCTACAAACTGGAAATACATAAGTCTGAACGGGATCAGCGCAACAATTGGTTATTTGTCTACTACTCGACCATCTGACAACTATAGACGTTTTCAGTTCCTAACTACTGCAGTAACGAAGGTGGCAAACCCATGAGGTGGATCTCTTATAGGTAATACAAATGGCATATTATGCACTTCATCACATTTAGATGTGCAACTGAAGTAGTTAAGACTAGTGTCGTAACACGGATGGAGAGCTCAAGAGGTAAATCTCTGATAGTCAAATACGAATGGCATATTATGCGCTTCCTCGTATTTTGGCGGAGATATTAAAAGTACTTAACTCGCAGAACTGACAACCCATATTTATCAGAAACTGAATTAGCACACCGACCATGTGGAAATCTTTCCGAGGATGACGAACATCACGAAGAACAATTGATGAAAAGAAAAATCAAAGAGAAAGATCAATGGATGATCCACATTTCAAGAACGTAGGTTTATGTCTAAGATCCTCAACTGGAACCACGTGTCCAAAAAAAAAGAAATATCATTAGAAGGGATGAAATATGCCCTAGATCGATCAAAGAATCAACAAGTAGACGAAAGATTTGATAAGGAATCTGTGAAACCCAAGTATTGCAATACGGCTTGAAAATTTAATTAGAGGAGCAGAAGAAGAAGATACAGACGGATCTGCAGTAGCATGAGGAAGTGAAGGAGCTGGAAGGACTCGAGGAGGCGAGGACGGCGCGGGAGAGACGCCTCAGGAGAGCGCTTCTCATCTCCGAATTGAGTCGAGCCGCTCCCCCGACAAAGCCCTATTCTACGTGGGGGAGGGGACGGAGAGGAGTGCTGCGACGAGAGGAGCTACCAGTGGGTTCTCGATCGTCTGATCCGAACCGCCAAGAAGTGACGAGTTTCCCTTCCACCCTCTGATGGTTGTAAAATTGGGTTCAATGAAATCCATAAAGACGACGATTTTGTTGTTTTGATAGTATTTTTCATATTAATCCCTAGAAAATATCTCTTTGGATGAGAGTCACTGGTTCTTCGATATTTTATTTTATATTAAAACCTCTCAACTATTTAATGATGATTATTAATAACAACATCATGTTAGGTGATATTTGTTTACTGCCGGAAAGTATCAAAATTCTCATCCAAAATAATATTTTTATAATGGTTTTGGGGCCCAACTAGTAAATCGATGGGCACCCCAAAAAGACATATTTTTAACTTCAGGTTTGTTAGGTCCCAGCCAATATAGGATGGGCCCTCAAAAAATTGGCGTATGCTGCTTGGAGTGACGGGCACACGGTATTCTTTAGTAAAAGGCGAAAGAATAGTTCGCTTTGTGCCCACCACGCAGCTGCGTGATTTGGTTCAATCATGTATCATGGTTTATATTGCATACTTACGAGTGCCCTCTTGTTAATGTTACCAATGTGGGACTAAAAGCTAGCTCTTGGATGGCTTCACAATACTTTGAGTATTCTACTGAGGTGACACTACTATGAATTGATTAACCAAAGGCAACATACCAAAGCGAGAGAAGCCACTGTGTTGGAGGAAGAGTCAATCCAAGTAGTTACGAGTTTTCTTTTCTCTTAGTTGATGATAGGTGCCTCGAAGAATAAAGTAAGGTGACGAGACAATCGAAAGAAGTGACGGGTTTTTCTCTCTCTTGGTTGGTAACAGGTGCCTCGAAGAACAAAGTAAGATGTGGCAATTGTATAATATGTGCCTCCGTCCTTTTTCTCTTTCTTTTAACTCCTTAATCCCTTTTGGGTCATCTACTTTCATCGTCACCCATTGTCTCCACCCTATTGTCATTGTTGACCTCTTCTTCTTCATTGTTACGGTCACCATCATACTTATCTTGCTTTCTCTCTCCTTTTGTCCATAGCTACCAACTCGATAAGAAAGCTAATGATACCAGAATCTAATGAAGGGGAGGATGTGTGAAGAGCGAGGAGACATGAAGAGAGCAGTAGTGAGACAGATGTGATGAATCAGGGGCAAAGATGAAGGGCAATGTTATGGAAATCAAAAATAATTTTATTTTATTTTTAAAATAGGGATGCTTTGTAGGAATAAATGAAAAAGGTATGTTAATAAAAAAATAAAAATAAGAGATTTTTATTAAAAATTATCCATATATATATTTTTTATTAATAAATGATCCATCAATTGAATTACTAAAATCTAAAAAAAAAAATTTATCGAAGAACCCTAATAATGGGTTTTTACTAGATGATGCCTCAATATTTGATATTTATTAAGGGGCACCCTATTTTTTTGCTTTGATCATAATATCCTCAATAAAAATTTTAAAAAAATGATGATTATTTTTTAATTAGATTTGATTGATTTTTAGAATTGAACCAATTTTTTTTTTTTATGTATCACACCAGACCAATTCAACTAAATCATAAATATTTAATTTGATATATTTGAACCCTAGATTATACTTGATTTTTCTAAATTACCCCCACCTTTACTCCTCCCACTCCACCTCTACTGCCTCCCCCCTTTTCGGTTGATTTCTTCCTCCCCCTTAGCTTCGTCTTCCTCCCGCTACTCTACCACCGCCTCCCCTCTCTTTCATCCACCTCTCTCAGCCTCTCCTTGTTCTTGCTATTCTTTCATTGCTTGCTTCATACCCTCCACCACCTTCTCCTTTGTCTTGTTCTCCTCACAAATTACTTAGATTAGTCATTGCACCCGAGTTACGAGTTACACTCATTTAGAGAATATATTAAAATATATATTAATTTCTATATAAAAGCATCCTAAATTTATAATAAAAAATAAAAATCTTGAGTTATCATAAAAATATTAATATATATTATCCTAAATTACCCATAAAATTCATCACACTCGGGTTACATTCGAGTTACACTTATTCACATAATATATTAAAAATATTAATTTCTATATAAAAATATCCTTAATCCATCCTAAATTAGAAAAATATCTTAATAGTTTTATAATACATTTGGATTAATTGACTTTGCCCTATCGAGTAGCTATCAATGGATTCTCGATCGTTTGATCCATCCGAACCGTCAAGAAGTGACGAATTTCCCTTTCACCCTTTATGGTTGTAAAAAGGGTTTAATGAAATCCATAAAGGACGATGATTTAATGAAATTCATTTTTTTACTGCCGGAAAGAATAAAAATTCTCATCCAGAATAATATTTGTTGTCACTTGAATTTGCTAAAATACTGGACATAAAAATTAAATTATTTTTTAAACACTTACTATACCCTAAAATTATCTAGATGAATTGTACGAGAATAGTAAATCGATTGAGATGAAACATAAATATTTTATTAATAATTTATTACTAAATAATGGTTTCGGGCCCCACCGAGTATACGTATGGGCCACACCCAAAAACATAAATATTTAAGCTATGATTTGTTGGGCCCCAGCCAGAATAGGATGGACCCTCAAAAAATTGGCGTATGCTGCTTGGAGTGACGGGCACACGGTATTCTTTAGTAAAAGGCGAAAGAATAGTTCGCTCTGTGCCCACCACGCAGCTGCGTGGTTTGGTTAACGGGTGCATCATGGTTTATATGGCATCCTTACCGATGCCCTCTTGCTAATGTCACCAATGTGGGACTAAAAGCTTGGCGTATAGGATGAGAAATCCACGTAGACGGTGCGATGACACCAAGCGCAACACTTTGACGGTTCAAGTGCTAACTCAATCAGAGCTCTCTGAACGAAGGAATGTAATATCACATATCGGATTTATATCTATTAGTAGTCAACACACGATATATTGATACGTATTAATATTTCGAAGATGAAGAAAGACAATAAAAAAGGAACGAAGTGGAAGGAAGAAAAAGTAACGGTGAAGGCAAAAGAGAAGATGAAGAGGAAGAAGGAATGAAAGGTACTCGAGGAAGATGAAATGAAAACGATTGAGAAGGACAAAAAGGAAAGAAGATGATGGGAAGGAGGAGAAGAGGAGAGAGTGTGTTAGGAAGGTAGGTGATGGTGAACGATAGCGACAACAATATCAAATGGTAGCGATAAGGTGAACGACAATGATAAAGGTGGCAATAAATAATGATGATTCTGTTCGTTCTGCAAGATGAGGGCTCTATATCAATCCGAAATGAGACGATATGTGCCAATGGTTCTATATTAATCCAAAAGAAATAGACTCTAAACTCTTCAAAACATATATCACTCGTCTTCTAATTTATAAGCTTAAGCATCAAAAGAACTTTTGCCAACACTCCTCGTGAAGTATTTATAGGGCTCTTTCCCAAGCCCACTCATAGCTTGTGACAAACTCGAATTCTTAGAA